GATAGAAACAGTCGCTTTACTTCAAAATTCTGGGGAAGTCTACAAAGAGCTTTGGGATCACATATCAGATTAAGTACGGCTTATCATCCACAAACCGATGGGCAAAGTGAAAGAACAATCCAAACTCTCAAAGGCATGTTGAGATCCTGTGTCATTGACTTCGGGGGATCATGGGACGAACATTTACCGTTGATAGAATTTTCTTACAACAATAGTTATCACTCCAGCATCCAAGCGGCACCTTATGAAGTCCTATATGGAAGAAAATTCTGAACACCATTATGTTGGAATGAGGTAGGTGAAAAACAGTTGACAGGTCCCGAGATTGTGCAAGTAACATCTGAAAAGATTGGTCAGATTCAATCAAAAATAAAAATTGCCCAGGATCGACAGAATAGCTATGCCGACAAACAAAGAAAACCGATTGAATTTAGTGTAGATGACTTTGTAATGTTAAAAGTATCCCCGTGGAAAGGTGTTATGAGGTTTGGGAAGAAAGGTGAGCCTAGTCCAAGGTATATTGGACCATTCAGAATCTACAAAAGAATTGGACCAGTAGCTTATTAGTTGGAATTACCAGAGGAACTTCGTCTGATTCACAATACCTTCCATGTGTCAAACCTAACGAAATGCCTTACTGATCCTACTATGGCGATACCACTTCCGGAGCTATAACCGACCACAAAACCCGAGTGTTGAGAAACAAGGAGATAAGTCTAGTAAGGGTACAGTGGCGATTTCATAAAGGATCAGAAGCAACATGGGAATTGGAATCAGAAATGAATGAAAAATATCCATGGTTGTTTGAGTGAATTCCGGAACGGAATTCTTTTAAGGGGGGGAGAATGTTATAACCGGGTTTGAGACAACCTGGGTTGAGGTAAATTATACATGTTTATTATGTGGATTATGTGAAATGTGCATATTTAAGTAAAAATGCATGAAGCATTTATGTGAAATGTGAATACGATATCATGCATATTGTGAAATAATAGCATGACATATATAATTCATACGTGTATGCATGTAGTGTGAAGCATGCATGATGTGGTGTTTCTTGAGTTTAAGTATTCGGGTGAAATCATTGTATCTTCATGGTTAAGATATTATTTCAAAAAAGTCTGGAATCCTGGGTTACTAATTGGTGGAATACTAGGCAATCCGAAACTTTTTTGAATGATATTGAAGAAAAGAGTATTCTAGAAAAATTCATAGAATTAGAGGAACTCCTCTTCTTAGAGGAAATGATCAAGGAATACTCGGAGACACATCTACAAAACCTTCGTATAGGAATTCACATAGTATGCCCGTCCCCCATCAGCGTATTTTTTTGTTTTACGCGCCCGTAACTCTTCCTCAGC